GGATCCCGCCCGTCGGCAGTGCGGGGACTCTCGGGGCCCAAGAGCCTCGCCCTCTGTCTCAGCAAGAAAGAAATGGTTGAACCATCGTAATTCTTAGGCTGGAAGCAAAACTATCTGTGAAATCTCTCGCCCCGGCCACTGCTCTCTCCGTGTTTATGGCCCGGCCCGTGGCTGGGGCTGGATGCGAGTGACAAAGCCGCGCAGATCTCGGGCAGGGCTTTGTGGCTCCATCACAAACGGTGATGTGAACTTTTCTACCTCGCGCTGTTTCATGTAGTAAACATGCTGGATGTTGAAAATTTACTGTGAGTCACACTTGCAAAGACTTTAAAAGTGGAGGAGGCTCGGTTCAGATTATAGCTCTTTCTGTGCAGAGGTCAAGAACTCGGTAATACTGCAGTACAGGCCAAAACAAACTCTATATGATCTACTACTGGTTTCCTTTTAAGTTCCCTTTTTGCTCATCGTTGACTTCCTTTTATTCCACTCCAACTTACATTAATCCCCGCTGTAGAAATGTTCCCCCCCCTTCCTCTCGTTTCTCTTTAAAAGCATCTTTGTAATGAAAATAAGTTATTTTTAGTGTCTTCTTTGTGGCCGCTCGAAGGGCCAAGGATTCAGATTGGAATCAGCGCAGGCAAATCCCTGAAGCCCTCGCTTTCCTCCTCCCCATTCAAACCCCATCCAAAGCCGAGATTCTGAGCGGAGCTGTTGGTTCCATGAGATCATCTCACGGTACCGCCGATAATAAACCGCGGCGAGGCGTAAATAGCGTTAGGGATGTCCTGTTCTCTCTCGCATGTCAGGTGTGAGGTGTTTAATCCGAGGCGCTGCTGCGAGCAGCGAGCGGACCGGGCCGTTCTTATCTCCGGGTTCAGGGGCTCGAAGCCCCGCGGTGCTTTAACCAAAGCTCCGGCAATTCCGGAGATGGGAGAATGGGGATTGTTCGAGATGGGAACCTCGCAGCTCCGTGGCTCAGCACAGAAATGTTCCCCTCGTTCGCTGCCGGCTGCAGGGATGGCTCAGACCCCGCTCGTGGCAGGGGCTGGGCTCACCCGGGGGTGCAATGGATTTGGGGACCCTACCCAGACCCCGTCCTCGCTGCTGTGGGGTCCGGGCCAGGCCGGGCACCTGCTCGTCCCTCACTCAGCCCCCGGCTCCAGTGGGAGGACAAGGAGGGGGCGAGGGCNGGCGAGGGACAAAAATAGCTGCGAGCCCGCTCCATCCTGGCGTGCGGGTTTCCCCAGCCCGGGGAGAAACCGAGCCTGTAATGGCCCAAGCCACGGAGCCCACGCTGGGCTCTCCTCGGGCAGGCACCGCACCTGGGGCTCAGCCACAGCTGCGTTCGGTGACACGCACAGAGAGGGCTCCTACGGCAAGGAGACAAGGAGAAATTCGGCAAAGGGTGTTTGCTTATTTTTCTTTTTTTCTTTTCTTTCTTTTTTTTTTTTTTGTTTTATTTTCTGGTGTATGGATAAAATGTTCCTGCTTTGGCTCTCCTCAAGGTTGAACTCCTTTTTTTTTTTGCTTTAGAGGTTCCTCCGACCGTGGGAAAGACGCTACCTTGGCTCTGTGATGACATTTCTGCCAAGTCTGGGATGGGATGGGGTGGGGGGTAGGAAGCTAAGGCTTTGAAACCTCTGCCCAATTTCCCTCTTCTCGTTTGCCTGCCTCTTTCATCCAGCTGGGCTCCTCCAACAACTGGATGCCTCCAGCGGGCCCCGTTCTCCACCAGATGTACATCTTTCAATTATTTTCAGCACATTTTAATCAGGCCTAGTTCTGATAACGCCCTAATTAAAGAGACCTCACTATCGGCAGCTCGGTTCAGAACTCAACTTTCTTATCACATTCCTGAAGCTTTGGGTCAGGCAACACCGGAAAATGCGGCCAAAACCTCGTCCTGCTCCGAGCTGAGTTTTGAAGGTCACCGAAACTCTGTGGCGGGCCAAAAGTAACGTAGAAAGTGTCAGTGTTTTCTGAAAGCGAAAAAAGAGACGGAGGGAAACGGGGAAAAGGGAGGTGAAGGCTGAGCCTCTAGCCTGAGGGAGGAGATAAGGAGCGAGAAGCAGCTGTGGGATGGGAGCCCGCTGGGTACCGGCCTGTCATCGCTGCCCGGCGAAAGGAGCTCTGCTCCCGGGGTCAGCGCGATGCGAGGCACATCTGGCCGGTCCCGCTCCCATGCCAGCCCCTCAGCCTCCGGGCCGGCTGAAAATCGCAGCCAAGGCGAAGGTTTTAAAGCCTTGTGGAGGATTTTCATTCCTCCGCTCCTCCCGCTCAGCCGCGCGGGTTAATGAAGTCCCGTAATGTCCCTGGCCCCAGCCTGGCCGCGAAGAGAATAAAACGGAGAAGCAACGTTCGAATCGCTTTGCTGCCTCTCGGTTTCGTTCTCTCCGAAAGCCGCTGTGATCACGGATCGTTCCTGGAGCACAGACCTGCCCAGCGCCGAGCATGCGGCGCCGAAAGGGAGCCCCAAAACAGCCCCGAGTGCTCCCCCTCGAGTGGCAAAACCCCAAAATCACTCTCCAGCCACACGCCCCATCCGGACGTGTCTGTGAGGGATGCCCGAGCTGGAAAAAGCGGGTTTAGGGAGAGGAGAGTGACGGAGAAAAGCGCTCGTAGTCCCTCTGCTTTCTTTCCCCTGTCCGCGTCGGACTTTTTGTTTTGTTTTGGTCGGGGTTTCTTGTTTTGCTTGGTTTTGTTGGTTTTTTTTTGTTTTTATTTTAAGAGTGACTCTCGGAGGAGCTTGGTTCTCCGAGTAAATGCTGATGAGCCGAGAAGCCGCTGAGATAATATTACTTTGTAATTACTTTTTTAGCTGAAGTTGTTTAGCCAGCTCCAAGTCATTAATGAAAGTTGGTGTCCAAGCACCTGATTTACGATTCTGTGCCGGCCCGGGGTCAGCAGAGGTGGTCTCTTTCCATCTGAATCTGCTCGGTGTAGGAAACAAAATAGGCTGTTTATTATTTTGGAAGAGCAATTTTCGCTGAAAGGAGGAGTTTTATTTTTGCACGTAATATTCCGCCTCTTTATTGCAGACTCTTCAGAAAGCCGCCCTTAACAAAATAAAAAAAAAAAAAAAGCGCAAGATTAAAGGCTGACTTCTAAATTGAAAGCGCCAGATGACTACACCGAGCAGATGGGAATCTTCCACTTTTAATACGAGCAACAATTAACGAAAACATCCTTTTTATTACCGAAACCGAGCTGTTCTCTTTAAACACGAACGAGACTTCCGACTTTGCGCTCCTGGCCGCGGGCTCGGCACGGCTCTGCCCGCACAGAGAGAGATGTGCGGGCGGTGGCACAGGGGACAGAGGGGCTCAGGGGGTCTGGCCCTGTCCTTGTGTGTCCCCAGGGGGATCGGAGGGACCCCGCTAACCCCGCTGTGCTCTCTCCGCCAGGTTACAGCACCGTGGCCTTTGACGGCACCCCCAGCTACGGGCACACGCCGTCCCACCCCGCCGCTCAGTTCACCAACCACTCCTTCAAACACGAGGACCCCATCAGCCAGCAGCCCTCCCTAGGTAATTTCTACCTCCCGAGGAGCCCTGGCACGGAGCTCCTTTGAGCCGCAAGGGTTAACCATGTGCCGCTCTCTCCGCAGGGGACCAGCAGTACTCGGTGCCTCCGCCGGTGTACGGCTGTCACACGCCGACCGACAGCTGCACGGGCAGCCAGGCGCTGCTCCTCCGGACGCCCTACAACAGGTACCTCGGCCGGCGGGGAGCTGGGCTCGCCCTCCTCCTTGTGCGCGGGTTGCTGCCGGGACGCGCTCCCTCTCCCCCGCATGCTGTTCGAACAGCTTTTCCTTTATGCTAGGAAACGGATTTAGTCTTCCCTTCTCAGAAAAAAAACCCAACCAAACAAAACCTTAAAAAACCCCAAAACACCCCAAAAAACAAAACAAAACCAACAAAAAAAAAATCCCAAAAACACTCCCCCCCAAAAAAACCCCAAACCCACCAATAACAACCAAACCCCAAAAAAGAAGATTCACACGTAAAAAAACAAACCATACCAAGGCAAAACCGCCCCAAACAAGCAAACAAGCAAAAAGCTAACAAAAAAAGAGAAACCAACAAAAATACCCCCAAAAAATCGATATCCCCAAACCCGCACAAAACGAAAAAAGGATGCCACGCCTTCCGTGGCGGGCCCCGCTGTGTCCCGCAGGTTTCCCGGCCGGCCGGCAGAGCATCCCCGCTGCAGGTGCCGGGAACGGGGAAACGGGAGCCAGGCTCCCTCCCCGCACTCCCCGGGCCCGATGGATTTGGGGTTTGCCCTTCCCGAGGCCGGGAAGGTGTGGGAGCGCTGGCTGGAGAGCAGCAGCCATGGGCACAGCGCAGTGGTGCAGGCAACCAAAACTCAGCTCCGACCGAGAGTTTCGTCCCGCAGCCAAGAGCCGTGCTGATGGCTCCCAGGAGGGATGGGAGCCGGCCTGCAGGGAGGTTATTTATTGAAATCGGGGCAATAAACCTATGGGATTTCCTTGCTGGGAGAAAGGTGCGTCTGGAACTTTGCTGCGAGCAATGAGAGGTCTTTGCCAACAGACGGGCCCGTGGCAAGCGCTGCTTCCCGGTTGGTTTTTTGTTTTGTTCGGTCTGACATGGGGGCTGGGCGTTGGAGTTTTACAACGTGTTTAGTGAGTGAAAGAAGTTCCCCAAAAATTTATTCCTCAACTTTTTGTGAACTTGGAGCCAGTCCCGTATCTCGGAGTTGCTAAGTAACTCTCGCACACAAAACAATGTGCGCCTCTGCGAAGGAAGCCGCGAGCGGCTCCTCTTGTAGGCCACTTCTATCACCTCACATTAATCGACACTGGACGTGAGACAACAAAATTCTGTCACTTCCAGAAGCCACTTCGCTAATGAACGTGAGTTGACGTCAAGGGAAGGAGGGAATGAGGTAATGAAGGAAGGAAAGAAGCCTATTCAGGGAGATTAGCTTGCAGAATAATTGGCGGGGCGAACTCCTGCGCTGAAGTGACAGAGATTGCGAGCCGCGCAGGGAAATCTATAAATATGGTTCGGAGGGGGCTTGGGGAGGGCAGCTCCACGGGCAGCGCCCCCTTCCCCGGTCCCCCCGGGCCCCGGCGCTCGCCCTCTCCCCTCTCCTGGAAGCGGCAGCGCCTGCAGGTGTGAATGCGATAGGGGAACGCTGATAGCGTCGAGAGCTCTCTTGCATGTGCCTCCGCTGCGGCAGGGGTGAGCAGAGATCGCCTCCTAACGCTGCCACCTCCCTCCCAGCGCTGCGCCACGGGGACCGAGCTCCTCCCGACCTCAGCCTTGATCCTGCCCCGCTCGCTGGGAGGTTTACGGCTCACTCCAGTGAGATAAGGATTTAAGCCTTTAAACCTCTCAGGAGCCAATACTGATGCGTAGGGGTGTGAGCGAGGCAGCGCTTGCTCCACTGTGGAGGGCAGCCCCGGTTGTCCAGGGACGGTAGTAGAAGGGCTGGTAATGTTATTGAGATGAGGATTAGTGGGATTCCTAGGAAGGATGGACTTGAGAATTGGTCAAAGAAGCTTACGTTCATGGTCAGGTTCAGGGGGTAGCCCCCAGGCTGCTCCCGCAGCGGGGCCCGCACAGGTGGCTGAGCTCGGCACAGCCTCTCCTTGTCCCGCATTGAACACATCCAAACCCGCCGGGAAAATGTGGCCAGGAAAGCGGATGAGTCGTTGCGGCACAGAAACGGGCGGGACTCCTTTCCCGCATCGCCAACGCCCCGAAAACGGCCGCACTGTCCTTAAGCATTTATCTTGATTTGGCAAAATCGTGATTATTTTTGGTTTTATTTTTCCAAGACCGTATTTACCCCGCGCCTCCTTCTTGAAGATTTCTTTTGCTTTTCGCAGTTCAGGTCAAGCTCGACAGCTCTGCTTTGTCAAGTGATTGCTCGGTGGCCGCATCCAAGCCCCGGGGCTGGCGAGCCTGCCCACTCCGAGAGCGCTCAGGGGATGGGGCTCAGCCCGGAATGGGGGTTTGTCCGTCCCCACACTGCCTGGGGACAACAGGCGCTCCCGTCCGCCTTTAGCAGTGGAGAAGGGTGGGATGTGGTGGAGAATACGAGGTGGGGAATGGGAGGTGGCGCTGCCTCTGCCCCCGGCGGGATGCGGCTGCCGCCGTTTCC